CCACAGTAGTCTAGGTGGAGGTGATCCTAGGTGAGGAGACAAGGGGAAGGGTGCAAGAAAAGCTGTGGAGGTGAAATCAGTAGATGGATGGCTTTAGTTGAGTGGTGGAAACTGAACCCAGAGTACAAGAGACTGAGAACTGGGTGGGAGATGAGGAAGTAAAGGCAGCAATATGACCTTGGCCAAGAAAGGGAGGAGGTGAACAGAACGATCGCCTGAGGGCGTGGCAGGGTCAACTAAAGGTTTCTTAAGGATGAAATATGGGAGAGACTGAAACATATTTGCAGGCAGCAGGGAAGGAACCAGGAGACAAGGACCGTTTCTCTGTTTCCTGCAACGCTATATGCCTCTGATGATATTGAGACACTAATATTAACATAGAACCCTTGGAGGTTCAAATAGACCTTTGTGGCCTGAAGTAAGATGAAAGTAACATGTGGTGTGGAAATGGCAATAGTCTCGGATCCCTCTTGGCTGAAAGATGCTATCATATGGTTCTCCAGGCAAAAGCTAAAGCTCTATTTGTTTCCAGTCCTTTGGACCATGTCTGGATTCTAAGTAGAACACTTGACTTCATTGGACACCTCTGGATACAGAGAGCAACCTGAACCTGAGGACAAAGGGATCGTAGGATCATAGACCTACATCTCCACCTCAGAGGTCACAGAGTCCAAACTGCCCATTTTACAGATGAGAAAATCGAGACCCAGAGATGTGAAGTGGCTTGCCCAAGGTCATACAGTCAGTCAGTGGCAGAGCTAGAATTCGAACCCAAGTCTTCTGAATGGTACCATACTGATTCTGCGACAGAAGCAAATACAAGATGTGAAGCTAACTTGGGGAAATTCCCTAGAGTCAAAGAGATATGAATAAGCAAAGATTGGAGGCATTTTTCTCCTCATGGGATGATGATTTCGAGCTCTACGGCTCATAGTAGCTGGGCAGCCCTCTTCCAAACTCTCCCATTTTGGCCACAGGGATCATGACCAGTCACTCAGGTTCAAGTTCTGTGAGCCATTTTTAACTCTCCTCTGTGTTTCAGCGCCCCCACCCCGGTATTCCCTTAGTCACTTGCCAGGTATAACTAATTTCACTTCCACAGCATTTCTTGCACCCATCCCCTTGTCTCCCCACCCAGGACCACCTCTCTAGCTCTAGTCCTCATCATCTCTACCCTGGACTACTATAGTAGCCTCCTAACTATCCTCCCTTCTTTCAGGCTCTCCTCTTTCCTGTTCATCCCCCATATGGCTTCCCAAATAATCTACCAGGCCACAACTAAGACAAGTTTGACCTTGACACTACTCTGATCAAAAACCCTCAGTGGCTCCCTATTGCCCTCAGATAAGTCAACTGAGGCTTAGGCTAAATGACTTTCCCAAGGTCACATGGTCAATGAATGGCAGGACCAGGATTTAAACCCAGGCCCCTTGCAAGGCTCCAGACCCTGAATTCTATGCCACTGCCACCCCATGGTCTGTTCATGTTGTGCAATCTCTTTGCTCCTTTGCTCATTGTCAGAGGCAGTTGACTGAAGGTCTCAGAGTCAGGAAGACCTGGGTTCAAAGCCAACTTCCAGAAATTATTGTTGGGTGAGGATGAACATCTAGGAATCTTTCTCCATTTCTAAAACGAGGGTGAGCGTATCTATTTCACTGAGTTGTTCAGAGGATCAAACATAAAGTGCTTTGTTAACCTTAATGTGTCTTTTAAATGTAGCTATTATTATTATTCTATATCATAAATCCTACTGATGAGTTGTTAATGAGGGGGTTGGATTTTGGGGGGTGCAAGCCTGAACTCTCATTGGTGAAGGGAACTCTGAGTGTGAAAGCTTCCCTGATTGGTTCTGTAACTTGCAGTCTTAGAACGTTGTCTGGAGCACAGAGATAAGAAATAACTTACCCAGGATCACACAGTCAGTGCATGTCAGAGACAAGACTTGAGCTCAGATCTTCCCGTCTCCTGGGTTGGCCCTTTCCCCTCTACTCCACACTATATATGTCATTGCTCTCTGTGGCAGATTTCCCAAGGCAACGTTCAGGTCAACTTATACCAGATGCCCCATGCTTCCCCCATAGGCCAGAGGTACAGGTTGCTGGGCAGTTGGCAGGCTAACGGGGGGTCATGGGGTTATAGATGGAGAGCTGGAGGGACCTCAGACATTCTCTACTCTAACCCCTCATTTTACAGATAAGGAAACTGAAGCTCTCCAAGACTAAGTTACTCACCCAAGGTGCAAAAGCAATGGGAAGGAATCTAACACAATCATGACATAGAAAAACCCTCAAACCATCCTTACAAAACATCTTCACATCCTCACAAACTCATCCCACTCAAGGAGAAACAAGAGGTCCAAAATTTGTGGACATTCCACAACAAGTTAGACCTCAGCTTGTAACCCTATATGTGTAGAGAGAAGGAGGGAAGGAGGGAAGGAAGGAAGGAAGGAAGGAAGGAAGGAAGGAAGGAGGGAGGGAAGGGAAGAAGGAGGGAAGGAGGGTGGAGGGAGGGAGAAAAAAAGGAAGAAAGGGAGAAAGGAAAGAAGGAAGGAAGGAGGGAGGGAGGGAAGGAGGGTGGAGGGAGGGAGAAAAGAGGAAGAGAGGAAGGAAGAAAGGAAAGAAGGAAGGAAAGAAGGAAGGAGAAAAGGAGGGGGAGGGAGGGAGAAAAAAGGAAGGAAGGGAGGAAGGAAGGAAAGGAAGGAAGGAAGGGAAGGAGGAAGGAAGGAGGGAGAAAAAAGAAGGAAGGAAGGAAGGAAGGAGGGGTAGGAAGGGAGGAAAAAAGTAAGAAAGGGAGGAAAGAAGGAAAGAAACAAGCATTTTATTAAGTATCTACCCTGTTTTAAGTACCATGCAAAGTCCTTAACAAGTATAGTCTCATTTGCTCTTCACAACAGCCTTAAAAGGTAGGTGCTATTATTATTATTCCCATTTTACAGATGAAGAAACTGAGGCAGAGAGAGGTTAAGTGACTTGCCCAGGATCACACAGCTAGTAATTGTCTGAGGTCGGATTTGAACTCCTATCTTCTACTACAAGTCCTGCGCTTGGTGCACTATGGCGCCTCCTAGCTGTCTCTCTGTGCATAATCACTTCAGAATTGTCAGATGAATGGATGAAATCAATACATTCGTTATTAAAAGTATTGAGTCCAAATTCAGTTGATTTTTTTAAAGCACAGGGGAAGCTAGAGGTGCTCCTAGAGCGTGGATTTAGAGCTGGAAGGAATCTTGGAGGACACTGAGTCTGACACTTTCACTTTATGTGTGATTTAAACCCAAATCCTCTGACTCCCACTCTGCTGCTCTTTTCAGTAGCCCAGTGAAAGTGCTTTGTAAATACTACAAAGCTGTCACAGTGTGAAGTGATGTTGTGACAGTGATCATGGATTTGGGTTTGCCTTTGTTGTGAACAAACCTGTGTTCCTTTCATGAATAGGAGCTTAGGGTGTGAAATTTAGTCTTTGGTCTTTCAGGCACAGAACCAGCTTTCTCTAACTGTCCAACTCTAGTATGACCAGCCTTCACAACAGTTCTTGACCCAGAGTTCCATGCTCTGATGCTCTCTTTGGAAAAACTCTCACCTTTGCCAATAAGGAAATTGAAAGACTGAAGAAAGAAACAGGCAGGGACATGAAGGAAAAGGAGAACAGTTCAGTTGGGCCTCAAGAGAGAGGCAGTCAGTCAGTCAATCAACAAGTATTTACAACTCCCAGAAAGATGGGCAGAAAGGATGCCATCTGCAGACGCCAACTAAGCATTTTCATTAGCTTTTGTTTTGCAATTTTTTGGTCTAGCTCTTTACAAATTATTTTTGTCTTTCATTTTATTTTAATTTTCCACTAGTGGGTATTTGTTTTCCTCTTTTCCACCTTCCTTGCCCCCACTCCAACAATTTAAAACAAAAAAGAAAGACAAAATCTTTCATTAAAGTATGCAGAGTAAAGGAAATTCCTACAGTGGCCATGTCAATTCTACACCTTGACCATCATCCCTAGATCAGGAGGTGGATAACATGAGTCATCGCGGGCCCTTGGGAATCATGACTGATCATTGCTTTCATCAGAATTCCTGAGTCCTTCAAAGGTTTTCATTGTTAAAGTATTGTTTTGCTTTATAAATTGTTCTCCCAGTTCTGTTCACTTTATTCTACATCAGCTTATGTAAGTCTTCCCAGGTCTCTCTGGAAGTTTTTCTTTTGTAATTTCTGATGACATAGTATTACATTACATTCATATACTATAATTTGTCCAGTCTTTCCCCAATCAGTGGTCACCCCCTCTAGTTTTTTGCCACCACAAAACAGCTGCTCTAAATATTTTTGTACATATGATTCTTTTCTTCTTTATTTGATCTCTTGGGAGCATAGGCCTGGTAGTCGTATAGTTAGGTCAAAGGGTATGCACAATTTAGTAACTTTCATCATTGGTATGATATGACCAATATTGTGCAGGTAGCAAGTGGTGTGTGTGTATATATATATATATTTCATTAAATATTTTCCAATTACATGTAAAATTTTTTAACATTTTTTTAACATTTTGAATTCCAAATTCTCTTCCTCCAATTTGATAGGTGTGAGGTGATACCTCAGAGTTGCTTTAATTTGCATTTCTTTGATTAGTAGTTATTAGAATATTTTTTCCCATGTGACTATCAATGTTCTAAGAAATACACCATACAACTTCCCCGGAGGGAGAATAACATAGAGATGTGGATAGGACTAGTTTCAGAAGCAAGTTTTGAGACTGCCCTCCCTCCCCCAATGCTGTCCCTGATGAGAGAGTGAACACAGGTGACATGCTGGTGTGAACACTGAAATGTGACTGAAGGATGAGGAAGTCTAAAGTCAAAGTACCAGGACTGGGGTGCTGAGAAGGATGGGTTCTCATGTATGTTGGGAGTGGGAGTAGATATTAGGCCCTCATCTATGGGGTGCCCTTCTCATTGATTATTTTTGACAGCATCCAATGTAGTTTATTAACAATTTTCTTTTTTCTAGGATGGTGGACAGTCCTTACCATGTTTTGGAAGACCTGTTGCAGCCACTGTATATACCACTTCTCCTCTGATGTTCCAACCTTCCCCCAGTTACCCCAGCAAACCAGTCAGTGAGCCTGCAAAAGTCAACAAGAGACTCACACCTTGGGAAGCGGCTGCTAAGTCACCCCTTGGCCTTGTGGATGATGCATTCGGCCCCCGAAATATCCAGGAATCCATCGTGGCCAATGTAGTCTCTGCTGCCCAGAGGAAAAGCCTGCCAGAGCCACTTCGGGACTGGAAACCAAGAGTTTCCTATGCACCCCAAGCTCAGAAGGCAAACCTGGTCCCATTCCACAGGAGGGAGAATGGCATCACCAACCTGCCACAAAGTGCCAGGGCAGCCACTTATGTCAACAGCCAGTATGACGCCCCGTTGCCATATTTCGACTATTACAGGAAGCCACCTAGGACTGGGATGATGACAATGGAGACCAAGTCTGAGTATGGCTACTCCTTCAGCAATAGCAACTACAATCCACACCCAAGAGGATGGAAACGTGAGACCTGAGATTTCCCCAGAGTAGAGAAAGCCTCCTTTTCTGCCCTTAGCATCTGTCAGTTCTAATAGCCAAGCCATGGAACAAATCAAGTGATCTTTTCTTGGTCCAACCAGTTCTGTAGGGCATGACAATCTTTTGCTCTTGGCAAAAGAAATAGATTTGACTCACATAGCTCTGAGATCCTCCTATGTGAGAGATTTGCTAAATTTTTTTTTTTGGTCTTTAGTTCCCCAAGTCACATTTGTATATTTTAGCCCGTGAGAGTGATACACATGCACATTCAAACCTTAACTCAAAATACCAACACTTACTCTTTCCTACTCCTCACTCAAGCAATGTATGGGGAAAAAAAGAGATTGTATTTGTGGGAGGCAAATGCAATTGTCTGAGTTGGTTTCTGGAGTTCTTAGCCTCGTTTTCTTCATGTTACCAACACGTTTCCCAGTAGGACTAAGCAATTCACGTCTATGAGAGTTATTGGGTCTCCTGTCTGATCTTTGTGCCATCATGAGTTATAGAAAGGAAGGAATACCTCAGTATTTCTAGACCTGGCATTGGAGATCCATGACAAGGAGCCTAATTTAGGGGAAGCTTTCAAAGGCAATGCACCAGTGTAGTTTGTATGGGAAGGAATTCCCTGCTGATTTTTTTTTAAAGTATTCCCCTCGATAGCTTAATATCTAATTAAATTCATTTTTCTTTAAGAAACTGATAGTAGTTATAGACAGTCTGTGAAAGAGACTAATGAAATGGACATTTTAGGGTAAGGTTACAAGAAATGCCAGAATTATTTTGAAACCAAGAGTTGTACATCTGAAGTGGGAAAGATTTACATAGTGTATTATTTCTAATCAATTTGTATCTGACCTTCTAAGAAAGAAATAGGTACAGGGATAGAGATTGATTTCATTAATATAAGGGACTTTCCAGTGAGGAAACTCCCTCTAGCAATGCAGGTTGATATCTTCTTTACAATTTACTGTTCTAGAGAGCTGCCTGGGGCAATGAGAGATTGTGACTCGCCCAGGGTCACACAGCCAACATCTGCCAGAGAGGGGACTGGAACCCAAGTCTTCCCATCACCAAAGCTGACTCTATCCACTATCTTACGCTGCTTCTAATGAATGAAATAGACCCTAGCAAAATAAATGTGATGGGCTACTCATATCTTTTACTCATGATATAGATGCCAAATTCAGTCTCAAGTTTAGTGAGGCCATGAATGTCATGACATGCCTCTTTCTCATTGCCTAAAAGAATTGTTGAAAGGCAGGTTTTTTGTTATGTGTTATAGGGTGTGAGTACTGATGTGAAGTAGAAGAAAGAACCCTAGGGGGTTTGTTATATATTTTAATGGACTAGGGAAATAGCCAATTATAACTGCTTGTCACTGTACATGGTAGCCAGTCACTGAGTTGTAGAGAAAGTTATTGGCCAATGAACCAACCAGCCAGAGCTGCTGGTCCTAATAGTTACTTACTTAGATGATAAATTGACAGGTAGATTATAGATAGATAGATAGATAGATAGATAGATAGATAATAGATAATAGATAATAGACACATAGATAATAAATGATAAATAGAAAGACTGATAGCTACATGGATAGACAGATAGACCATTTATTAAGCACTTACTATGTGCCAGGCACTGTACCAAGTGCTAGGTATGCAAATAAAAACAAATAAAACAGTATGGACTTGCAAGGAATGGGACACCAGATCAGAGATTTTGAGACTGAAGACATCTTAGAGGTCATTTAGTCCAAGCCCTTATTTTTTCACAGGCATAAAGTGAGGTCCAGAAAAGTGAAGGAATTAACTTGCTCAAGGCCAAACAGGTGTAGGTGGCAAAGTCATGTTTGGTTCCAGTTTCCCTGATTCCCAATGCATTAACTGCCTTTTCTACCACATCAAGAAACTGAGCTCTAATTCATAAACTGTAAAGTAATCAATGTGACTCTGGAATCAGTAATTAGATGTGGGAGAGGAATAGCACCATTAGGGAAGATTCTTAAAGAAGGCTGACAGAGCTCAGGGTCCCTGTTTGAGAGCCCTGTCAGCTTGACGAGGAGAAAACAAGGTTCAAACCTGACTCGATGTCTCAATTTGAATTCTATTAACTGTGAATTTAAAAAGCAGTCAGATGAATCTCAGGATGAGAAAATGAGGATTTTTATTTGGTATACATAAGTGTTTAGGGAGCTAAGCCACTGTAATGAGCTTTTCCTCCAGGAAATGTCATTTTCACTGGTCTCTTTCACTGAATATAAGTTTTAAAGGGAAAGGGAAAAGCCAACCCTAATGCTTGATTGGCAGAAGTGCAACATTGGCAACATCTGTATTGTCATCACCCAAAAAATGCAGTGATGGAAATTTAAAAAAAAAAAAGCTATGACTGTTATTTTTAAAGGGATGTTGATTACTGAGAAGAAAGATGTTACAGCACAAATTCTCCCAAATGAAGAAACACAGAATAATAATGGGGAATTCCTGAGAAATTCTAGGCATGATGCCTGCTGGTTCCACTTGTCCTCCCTTCTGTCATTGCTAGCCCTGCTCTGGACTCATCAGGACCTTCACAATATCATTTAGCTGCCCATTGACTCAGTCTGGTGTGAGAATATTGGGAGTTTAGCAGAAAAGACTTGGCTACCCTACCCTGCATGCTGTATTTAGCGCCTAAATAAACACTACCACTTATGTCTTTTAATAACTGATGGCAATTGTGTTAGTCGCTGGAGCCATGATTACCCATGAGGTGGGCTAGAAACACAACCATTTACAATATCAAGTTTTGTTTTTCTCAGTTTCCAGAATGAAGTAGATTCACTTACCAAAAAAAAAAAAGCTTCATTAATGTCTTTAAAAATTCAATTCGGCAAGCCTTTTAGAAAGTGCCTACCATGCACGAGTCTTGGTGCTAGGCATTGGGTATACAAGGATATAAATAAAATAATCACCACCCTCAAAGAGCTTACATTCTATGGGGGGAAACAATATGTACACAGATCAGTCAACATAAGATCAAAGACAAAGAAAAATGAAGTTATTTCCAAAATAACAGAGCCCTGATAATGGAAGAACTCACAGATGCGAAGTCACAAGGACCATGCTTGGCAGGATGTTAAGGATTCCAAGAGGCAGAGGTGAGGAGGGAATGCATTCCAGACAAGGGGATCACTTGTTCACTTCCCTTTAATACTGCCACACCTGCCAAGCCTTCTTTGTTATGAAGAAAAATATTTAATCAGAGTGTGATTGTATATTTCATCGCTCAGCCATAGTCCCCACCATTCTACTGAGGGAAAAAAGTGAGTTTTACTTTTTAAAGTATCATTACAGAACTCTGCTCCCATTGTCAAAATTAGTACAAGATCATTAAAAATAACTATCTAGTTATCAGTTTTCAAACTTTAAGAAGAGAGCAATACTTGAGAAGCAAAGAATTCAGTCTTCACTAGACAGGATGGACACTCCCACTGTACTTCTGTTGAAAGGAGACCTTCCAGGAAGTCATATATACTTGGCAGAGGTGACCTCAAAACGGAAGATGGCTCAAGTAAGCAGCGCTGGACCCCATTAAAGTCTAGAGCCCTGAATGGTGAGCAAGAACTTCATTCTACCTAATTGTTCCAATGTTAGAATCATCAAATCATAGATTGAGAAATGGAAGAGGTCTTGGAGAATATATACTGAAACCCTCTGATTTTATGGAGGGGAAAATTGAGGCTCAGAGTGGGAACACAGCTTTTGAGCTGGAGGGGGCCTTACAGGCTGGCTACAAGTCCTCCTTTTGTGGTGGAGGAAGTTGAGGCTCATCCAGGGAAAGGGAGTGATTTAACGAGGTCACACAGAGAGTAAATGGCAGCGCCGATATTTGAACCGCTGTCTTCAGGGTCCAGCTCCTACTCCAGCAAGTTGAAGAATGATCTTAGTGAAGAAGTGGAAAGTGACGTACTGAACCGATACACACTCCCTAGGAGCTATGACTTTGCAGGCACAGCGCCCCCACGCGGTAGGACCGCCTCGCCTCCAGGTCCTCCCCACAGCTCCACTAGGTGGAGCAAGTGTGCATCAGTAGCAACGTGGACTAGTGGAGATATCAAACTGAATCCCAAGCGGCTACCTGGATGTTCCTTATTAATTACTACATGTTGAACTTTTTCTCACCTCGTGTGTTTTATGAATGTACAAATCTATTCGTAGGTTCACGGATTATGAGCTGGAAGGGGGCTTAGGGGTCATCTAGCCCAACCCTCTCGTTTTGTAGGAGAAGAGATGGAATCCTGGAGAAGGGATGGGCCTTGGCCAACAGCCTCTGGTTGTCAGCGGCAGAGCTGGGATTCGAATCCCCTTCCTCCGATGTTAGATTCAGTGCTCTTTCTACTCCACCACCTTTCCTTCTTGGAAGCATCTCTTAGTTACCTCCACAAAGATTGCCATTTTAGACTTCAGAAGAGCATGCACACGCACCCACGCGCACACACACACACACACACACACGTGTACGCACACATGGATGCAGATATACATAGCCTGCACACACAAATACTGACTTGCACTGATCAGTTGCATGAAATGGGATCAGATGGCTGCAGATTCAGCTCCAAATCAAGCAGAGGGAATTGTGCAAAGGCTTGCTTGTGGGAGAGCTCACTGTCCAGGTTTAGCTTCTGAACAATGCTCATCTCCAGTTTGCATTGTAAGAGATTCTTTGCCATCTAAATGTCTGAATCTTATCTAAACCTAATTGCAATTTCCACTTATATTGATTCATCACCAATGACTGGGTTTGAAAGGTGCATGCTGAAGATGAAGGTTGCATTAATAAAAATTATCTTAGCAAAATCAAGTGAAAGACTTTTGCTTTTCCTTATTTAAGATCATAGGTTTAGGGTTGAATAGAACTTTAGAGGGGCAGCTAGGTGGCGCCACAGTGTATAGAGTGCTGGGCCTGGTGTCAGAAAGACTCATCTTCTTGAGTTCAAATCTGGCCTCAGACATTTACCAGCTGTGTGACTCTGGGCAAGTCATTTCATCTCATCTGATCCCAGAAAAATAAAATCCATGTGAATATTCTAGCCCTTCCAAAGCCCATTCTATTTACTCTATCCCTACTTTACATCATGTCAAATTCCAGGAATATTTAAATAATTTCACTTCAAACAGCAACATTTTATACCACAATATTTACCTCGAGGTCTTTGCTGAATAATATTAAAGTGATGAATGTAAGCAGGAAGCTGGGCATCTCACACTGAGAATGTTTCTTTTTGGTTCTTTTCTTCTTGTTTTGGATAAAATGGGAGCCGGGGACTGGAGCATCTAGCCATACTGTCTTTGCCACCTTCACTCTACTGTCACCTGGAGGGTTGCCCAAAAGCTTAGCCAAAGAGAAAAAAATGCCCTTTAGATGCCAAGGTACTGAGTCAAACTCAGAAGCCCTGTGGTCCTCACTCTGGTGCTGCTGAACAGACACTTGTGGGTCAATCAACACGTATTTCTTAAACACTTACTATGGGCCAAGCATTGTGCTAAGGTATACAAAGAATGTCCCCCCCCAAAAAAAATTCCCTATAATTGAGAAAGGTGCATTATAATGGGGGAGGTTTTCAACTTTTAAATATATCACATATTATATATGTACATGTTTCTATATATCTATATTTCTTTATTCTATATATCTAGACAGACAGACAGACAGACAGACAGACAGATAGATAGATAGATAGATAGATAGATAGATAGATAGACAGACAGACAGACAGACAGACAGACAGACAGACAGACAGATAGATAGATAGATAGATAGATAGATAGATAGATAGATAGATAGATAGATAGATAGATAGTAGATAAAGGTGAGTTGAACAGGGAAACCTTAGTATCTGGGGAGACCAGGAAAGGCCTCCTCTACAAGGTGAGATTTGAGTTGAGTCTTGAAAGAACCCAAGGAGTCTAAGAAGCAGAGGTGAGGGAGGCAGGACATTTTGGAATAGGGAAGGGCCCCTACAAGGGCACTGAGATAGGAGATGGAACATCCTGTTTTAAGAACACCAGTGTATCTGGATCGTGGAGGAGAGTAAAGTATGGGAAGGAGCTGCATATGAGAAGCACGAAAGGAGAGACAAGATTGGCAAAGGACTGGCCACATAGGGTGAGTGAGGATAGCTAGGGAGGTTGGAAGGGTCAAGGTAGGATTTTAAAGGATGGGGATGACATGGAGGTGTTTGTAGGTGGCAGGGAAGGCATCAGTATAGAAAAAGGGATTGAAGGTAAGAGAGGAAATAAGAATAATAATGAGGACAATTTGCTGAAGAAGGCTAGGGGGGTTGGGATCAAGGGTGCTTGGAGATGGGGTTTCCTTGGCAAGGAGAAGGGCCACCCTTTCATGTCAGGCAGGAGAGTAGGAGATAGGGAGGGAGATGGCTGAGGAGTAGCCAGTTAATGAGCGTTTTTTAAGCACCTACTATGTGCCAGGCACTATGCTAAGCACTACGAATACAAAGAAAGGACAATACCAATCAAATGAAAAACAAAAACCCAGGCTT